TTGCATATAATTGTAAGTTAAGGTTTGCTTTTGTAATTGTAAGATAGATAGTTTGGCTCAATTGAAACATTGAGTTGTATAAACTTGACGAATCATACCTCTAAAATAGTAGTAGTTACAGTGCCGCATTATCTAACAACCACTGCCTGCAACTAATGTTGGAGGGGTCAGCAGGGCTGATTATGGATCAAAACTAACATAACTCTAACACTGAAATGATCCCGAAACTAACGCTCATTCATTGCACTTTGAGTCATAAAGTAGTTTTATTTATTTTCCTACTAATCTATCTACACACTTAGTTTTTTCTACCGAGCTCGGCTGTGCGAGTCTCGGCGGGGAGGGGGTTTCGCTGAGATCTCGGCGGGAGTGACATTTGATTGCTGAGTCTCGGATAATGCCTTTTCTAATAATCTGCCTACGTTTCTTTTCTTTGTTATCTACTTCATCCCTTTTTTATTTTTCTGCTCTTCTTTCCTCTTCTCTTCGTTTGTTTTGTTTGTTTACATATAACTAATACTAATACCTCCTTGTTTTCTCTCTAATTTGTCTACTATGTCCCACCATCACGATGAGAGATGAGCTACCGTACATGGTACACGCTCATATACACTCCCAAAATAGTATGCCGCAAGTAAGTATATCACAGAGGCAACTAAAGATCCAGAAACGAAAACCGATAACGCTGAAGATAATGAGCTGTGGTGATTTATATGACTAAATAGTATTATTTATTTATACTAACCTAAACACAACGTGGGGTGACCCAAATCCAAACGATCACTAACCAAAATAATAGACTGATCTTTTTTCAGCAGCACTACACCAGCCAGCAAAGTTCAACAATCCATCGTTGCTTATGCCTTTGTTGTCGTTTGGAACCAGTTTTGCGAGGTAGGCGACGATTGTGCGTATTTCTCGTGTAACTTTTGAAAAGAGCCTATTTATAGCCTGAACAAAACGTAAAGAGCAAATTGAAACATTGAACGTCGCGTGAAAGTGGAACTTAATGAAGGCCTAAGTACTTTTTCGTAGTTTTTAGTTTTCGGATTTGAAAGATCGTCGGTTACAGTGGCCTGCTTACTGAGCAGAAAAACGCGGTCCTTACATATCAAAGAGATTTATGGTAAAATCGCTTGTGTATCGTATATTTTGCGAAACTCGTTGTTGTCGTTGGTTCCGGGTTTGAATGGATAAAATTTGAGCAACGGTATTATGTGATATGAGGGGCTCGGTGGCCTTAGAGCAACCGTTTTTGCTTACTGAGCAGAACATCATGAGTCTAATCTCAGGCCCATCCACATTCAAGATTCGTCAATCGTTTTATTTGTTAATATGACTACATGGTAATAACAGCAACTCGGTGATTAAAAAGGTGCTCGTCTGCCTAGTGGCAAGCGTTTTTGCTTACTGAGCAGAAGACCGTGGGTTTAGTCCCAAGCTCCTTCGCGTTATATGCTCGTTAGGACATCAATTCAGCTTATCGTTTACCAAAACGAACCCTGCTGCAAACCCAACCCTCTTATCCAACATCCCAGTGATTCCTCGTGGAAGTGCAGAGGTGTTCTCGGCTTCCATCAAAGCGAGTGTCATGTCAACACAATCCTTCCCATTCCTTTCTTGACCTGTGGTCGGGTGCGGCCGGGGCTGGTATTGCCTAGTTTTATATCACCAGTTTTTACACATTGAGGATGATTGCTAGTCCCAAGCATCGTCTATTGGTTCTCTGTGTAATTACAGCTGATCTGGTAATAACAGAGTAGCAACCGTGGGCGGTCAATCAAGCTCAAGCTTATTGTGTAGGGGTACTTCAAATTATCACTCATCTTTTTTTTTCTCTATTGTATTCGGATTCTGTTCTTATTTTTTTTTTTTTTTGTAATTTTCTAAGTTTGTGTGGGTGTTTTAATTCACTCATAATCTTATCCGCTATATTTTTTTTCACGCGTATTTCGGAGTTTTTTGTGGTTTTATTAAATATGAATGTTTTTTTGCGCAGTGCGCGTCGTTGAGTAGGAATCCAATTCGGATTACTTTCAATATTATTGATATTTTTCTTGATATGTGATGTCTCGTATCTACATGTTCGTGATTACGTAATCGCAATACAAGCTGGAAAGCTACAGTAACCTAGTGAGCACTATAGCGCGAGTCGTCTTTTATTATTTTGTATTATATGGAGAGCCATGGTAGGAAGAAGCACATAGCACGCACGGAATTCATTGTATACTAGTTTTTCTTGCCATGAAAATTTGTGCCATTGAAATCAAACAGGCGTAGCAAAATATGTATCGTGTTTTGCTTTGACCGTGTAGTGATTGTTTGAGATCGTTCAGTGTGCAGTGAAAAACTGTACTTTTCTGTTTGGTATTTTATTAGATGTTTTGACAAAACCTTGGTTAATGATATCTTTCAATATTGATTTGTGTGTATTTTGAATGAATTGAAAAGAAACGGTGTCCCATTGAATAAAATAGCTGGAAACGACAGTTTGTCATAAATTACTTTACGCAAGATTTCAATACTGCCTTGTGTATTCTTGCTCAACTGATAAGAAAAGCATTATAAAAGTAATTGGCTCCCAATGATAGTTCGTGACAGCAGCCGGCTGGCTGCATTTGACGTTCCATTTTTTCTCTCTTCGCGACTCTCCCTCAGGCAGAGCCCAACCGAGCTACCGTGGACTCCCAACCTAATTTTCGAAGGGCAAACAACAACAAACTGTTTTTGAACAGACTCAATGCGGCTTATATATGTATGTATCCTGATACTGAGCCCACACTACGCTACAGTATTCAAGAAGAGTTCTCACATAGGCCACATAAAATGTTTTGATAGTGTAAGGATCATTGAAGTGCTAATAATATAACCCTAGCATGTTACTTGCTTTATATATATTATGTTATTGTAGTGATCAACAAATGATAACATAGAGTCGAGAATAATGCTTAAGTCCCTTACTTGATTACACCTTTCACCTGTTTTCTCACCAAGGGAAATTGTGTCATTTACTACGGCATGCTTTCTTGTAAACGATATAGAATTACATTTACGAACGTTAAGCTCTAACAAATTCTTCTTACACCAAGTGTAAAAAATGTCTACTTATTGCTGAAATAGCTGTAGATCAGATGCTTTAGATATTATATTCCCATGAAAAGTTTCATATCGTCTGCATAATGTACTCTATTCATTGACAAATAAGATGAATAGCAGTGGACCAAGATGCGAACCACATGTCACATGAACGACATACGACAATTTTCGTTCTCCTTGACAAGTATGACTCGATCCATTGCAGTGGCCTGGTATTAAAACCTAACTTGGATAAGTTGAAAATCAACAGTGGTATATCCACTCTATCGAACGCTTCACTAAAATCAGTTTCTACATAACTTCCCTTATCCATTACATTTAAAGCATATGTTTCAAAATATATAAAATTAGAAGCTGTAGATCGACCTTTATCAAATCCATGTTGTTTACTAGTAATGATAGATTTACCTTGGGAAAATAGGTTGGCATTAATGATGGATTCGAAAAGTTTAGGAATGGTAGATAATATAGCATTCCCAGAATAAACCATTTCCCAGAAAACTATTCCCTAGAATACACCATTCCCCAGAAAAGCATTCCCCAGAATAAACCATTTCCCAGAAAAGATGATGATATTAGTAATGGACCACTTTGTCAAGCAGTTTTACCGTGATTTTCTACCAACGATTTCACAAAATTGGGCCAACAAATGACTATTTTACTATGAAACGCACTACTTTTGGCTACTTTTCTCGTGGTTCTAGAAGAAAAAAACCGTAAAAATATTGTGTTATTTCGAAGTTCGAGTGGTAGGAAACGTAATTTTTAACTGCTCGAATTAAATGGTTAATTTATCATTTTTTTTGTCATTTGATATTATATTTCAGTTTTATATTACAGAACAGCTTAATATCCATATTTTATTTATTACAAAGCGCCAATGCAAGGCCCTGAATATGACTGAACCGATCGATAAATTTTACACATTTGATTTAATATATTTTTCAGGATAAAACTCTCTGATTAGTTTCACTTTACCTTTGATGATACACTACGTTTACTTTTATGAAACTATGTATTTATCAATTCCAAGCCATTTTATAGCTCTTTAGAAAATGACAACCTCCAAGTTTTCGAGCACTTCGTTCATCATTTAAAAAGTCAAAGGGTCTATTATGCAAAAGAATTGTTCGAACTGAGTTGAAGAATTTCTCGTGATGGATTAAAAAATCGGTGCATGGAACGTTGAACTACCGATTACAAATTTATAACATTATTCCACACGTTATTATCTCAAATGGTCATTACCTCGAATCCCTCGCGAAAAGTTATTGATTATATTTTTCCTTATATATTAAAAGAAGATAATATGTATTCCTTTCTTTACATCCAAAGAATTAATTATTTCCTTTTGTTATATTTTCAAAGAAGGGAAAACCCCTTAACCCATTGAAAAGTTTTTCTATTCTTTTTATATACGCGAAAGAAGATTCCAGGAGTAACTATAATAAACAAAAATAGTCAATCTAATATATGGCATACTTTTCTGGGAAATGAAATTCATTTATTTTAGAACATTGATTTTATTTGTTTTATTTTTATGTACCGATACATACCTATGTTTTATTTGTGAAATCTAATTGCAAAAAAAATATGGTTTCACAAATAAATGGTATACAGAAATTCTCCTCGGGGAATGGTTTTCTGGAAAATGGTTCATTCTGGGGAATGAGATTCTGAAGAATGGTTTTCTGGGGAATGTTATAGAATCATCAGACCGTTTCTATTGTTGGTCGTGATATAAGTTTTACTAAATTTAAGGATTCCGTTCCAAAACTAATCTATTTTGGCATCACTTTATTCACCGATACGTTTAAATCGCTGACGTTGTCATATTTGACACTATTTGCCTCCTTCTTCTGCTCTGTACACAAGTACAGTGTTCAGCTGTATTGCACAAAAAAACAAATCGATGAACACGTCAAACATGAAGTAAAAATAAATAGTATAGAAAGAGTACAATTTTCGCTTTACACAAGATTTACCTTGTGATTGCAAATGAAAACGAATCTCTAGTTTAGGAGAGAGCACTACACAATGTAATACTTAGGACTGTACCGAAAACTAATTGCAAACACAACTTCAAGTAACTCTAGGCTTTGAGGTGTCTTAAAGTAATAGCAAAAGATGGGACGAAATATTCTCGCGAGTAGTTTGCAAAATGCATCCTTCAGTATCATATTTCAGGTAAGGATAGAGAACAAGGTCATCGCTATTTACGGAGCTCAATAATCTTACGCTTCACTACTTCCAGATTTTTTGCAGATGCATTACCTTTGCAATCAATGCCTTCATTGTGAGGAGTGTTGGGCGAGAGGTACTGGGGATAACCAATGTTCGATTGCTTTTACTGGAAAGTACATTGTTGTTCCTATCCAAAGAGGCTATTATCCGTGCCGCATTAAGTTCACGGCACAACAAACAATGCACTTGGGCACAATTGATTAATCAACTCTGGATCACGTAATGTTAATTTTGGACAGATTTACGAATGCAAGATAATCTACAAATTGAAAATCTCATTTTGCAGGGTTCCGATATGCTTCGTCCTAGCGATGCCATGCTTGTATATTTGGTTGAATTGGCTATCGACTGTGGATGAACACTATTACGTGCAGTATCGTTTCGGTTGTTTTGCAATAGCATTTGCTTGCGTTATCGAACTTACGGCCGAATCACCGATCTTCGTTTCTCAAGTCTTCTGCTTCGTGAAGCTTAAGGTTGTGATGGACACCGGACATATCTTCATCCGTTCGCTTGTTTTTATAGTGCTGGTTTTGTGGAACAAAAGCATTACGATTTACGCATTCGGGATAGCACAAATTATAAGCGCAATAACAATTATAGTTGGGAACTATGCGTTCTTCCACTTGTACATACCACGTCTGATGCAATATCGGAAGGAGATGAAACGGGTCGATGATAAGTATGAGTTGCGGAAAACGTTCGGAAACTACTACGAAAATATGGAAGACTTCCCATTTACATCTATAAGAGAAATGATGCCTGGAGTTTTGCCGAATTCGGTAAGTGATGATCGCAGTTGAGTAGAAATTGTGCAGGTTTTTACGGTTATAAAATAGAATTCGGGTAGTCGAGTAATCATTAATCTACAAGCCACACTCCGTGTTTTCACTAAAGATTCACTAAGGTGCGCACTCGGGTACAAAAACAAAAACAGCGTGTGGCTGTATATTGCGAAAATTGTAAAGTTTGATCACTAGCATAATAGCATTAATCTATCCATTTTAAGATAGATTACTTGAAAATTCAATTGGACTTTCCATTAGATTTCTATATTAAATAGTTATGAACAATTTGAAATAGAGGATTGTGGAGCAAGATGGCATTTCGTGTGTCTGAGGTGTTTTTGATTGTATTTCATTGTGTGTTTCTAAGGTGTTCTGCGGGATTGTTAGTGTTTTGCATTGTTATTAATCATCCCTTATACTAGGAATATTTTTGTAAGGCGGGTTCATGACCATAGACCAGGGTGGCCGTCTTGCCTCACTTTCCCCTACGTTTTGATTGTACGGTTTGAAAAATGTACTCGCTAACAAAGACGTTGCTAGGGAATATGCGTTGTTACCCGCGACCAGAATAATCTCAAGCCCTACAGTATAAGTATGGACGTCTGTCAAAAGTTGTTCCAATCGAACCGTCAAAATGCACCGCTTTGCTCGATTGGAACAGCTTTTTTCAGTTTTGTGGTGACAGTCGTCCATACTTTTACTGTAGGGCTTTAGAATAACCCCGAGACGAATAACCGATTGTTACTTGGATAACACCCCCTGTCAATCCGCTATTCCGATGCGTTATACAAGTTTTTTAATGACAAAATGATGCTTCACATTAATGTGCTTCGAACATTTAACTCGCCATTTTTGGCCATTCCAATGCAGCCTTGGTTGTCCTCATAAATTGTAACCGGGACACAAGTTTTCAGCTTCAAATCATAGATGATATCAGACAGCCAAACTGCTTGCTTGACCAGCTGACCAGGTTTGCCGCACTCAGGGTGGCCACTAAACCGGGAGAACCGGGAATCGAAAACAACCGGGAAAAACTGATAAATAACCTGGAATTTGGTTGAAACCTTACAATACATATTATGTTGTACCGTACAACGGGGTGAAGTTAATCATTGAGGTGAAATTGATCAATTTCGTTTCTAAATAATTCAATTAATTTAATGATATTATCAAAAGATAATTTGTTCAGTATTTCAGTGAGTAGTATTAAATAGTACTTTTAATACGTTTTCTCTAGCAAACGATGCATTCTATAGTCCTAAATGTACAATTTTGAGGAAGTGATGAAATATGGAGCTTTGGGTTGCTGAATTCGAATCTGAAATCAGATGTCGTTGAAATGACCAATTTAACATCATACAAATGACATTAATCGCCAGCAAACGCACCGAGAAACGTTAAATATAGCGAGTTATTAACAAAAGAGAAAATCGATGAAGAGAATTGATCATCGCGTATACGCCCTTATGCATGCTCACTGTCGAATTGATTCCCTAAGCTCACACGGGTTTTGCTTCTGGCGAAATAATGAAAATTGCGCATGGTCGTCTGTCGAGCAGGAAGCAAATTACCCGGCTGTTGGCCCTAGGCAAAAGTGTAGCCTTTATATTAGACACTTTACGATGAACAACCCCAATAAACGGGTACCATACACTAACGATATCATAGATGGTACGACCATACCACATCAAGTTGGGATTATATCCCGAATTGGTGATTAGGTGCTGCTTATGGTTATTGTTTATGCGAAAACAAGCACTATATCGTGACCAGCGGCAGGTTTGATGCAATATACCGGGTTATTCGATCTTTGTGTAGTTGGGGAATTCTGCGATCTGTAAGCACTTTCGCCACGGATACGTGTGCTAGTTTGATGTTCTTCGGCATGACGATGACGCGCTTGATGAAGATGACCCACAGTGGTGTTTCTCACGATTAGCAACTGTACCCGAACAGTGGCGGTGTGGCTTCTTCACTACTTCTCGCTAGAGTGCTCTTGCAGGCAGCCTTGGTAGCAAGCTGTTTGCGGGGAGCCTGTCCACCGGTCCACATGGCGTGTGTTAGGCGATCGATATGAACACGTCCGAAGTTCCAAAGGAAGTGCGGCTTCGGCTTGTTTCGTTTGGGACCTACTATGTGATGGCTGTGTTAGGAGAACACCTTGTGGTCTAAGCATATGTATGGAAAATTTTGATGCTACAAATTTTAGTTAATTTTTTTAGCTGTTTAACTATTTTCATTATTTGTACTAGGGGAACCCTAATTTGGGCCCATACATAAATTCAGCAATCGACTAAATTTTCAATAGCGACCAAAAATATCCATTAGTACCGTCCCAATGACGCGTTCCTCTAGATAAAATTGATAAATAGCAGATTTTTAGCGATGGGCTCAATCTTAGATCCATAGGCCAATATTAGAGCCATTTCCCCTATATGCCACAAAATTGCTGAATGAAGCCCCCGTCAAATGGCATATTGCATGACATATTTCACATTAATTCTTTGGAGAAATATGCGTTCAAAACCTGACCCTTTTCGTTACATGTTCATTTTTCGTACTTTCAAAGTGTATCCCATATAGAAGACAAAGACGTAGTCCTACGTCAAAATTCTCACATGCATTTTTTTGACAGTACAAAGTTACTTTCAAAATTTTAATCATTGACTGAAGGGAGTTCAGCGATAGCCTTAGGTCTTAGAAACTTGAGGCCAATCGATGTTTTCTTCAAACCGCCATATGTATCATAAAACCTGCCTTTTTGTGACTGTGCACATTTTACCCATTTTACCGAAACATACTATCGCTTCCAAATTTCACATTTATTGATGTTATCTCCTTCTTTGCAGAATTCCGCCTTCAATACAGATCTACAAAAGCTAGTTCTAAGCTTTGCCAAGCAAGGCGTCCTGAAGCAGGTTCTGACCGAAGGTGAAAAATATGTGATGTCGGTTAGTCCCGTATTGACCTTTAGTGAGCAGGCAACCTACGATGTTGTAAACAATATGGGCAGCCTGGCTGCTCGATTTATCTTCCGGCCGATAGAGGATAGCAGTTACTTCTATTTCACTCAAACAATAGCCCGGGATGTGAAGCTGCTGGACCAGAACCGCGCGAAAGTAAACGAAGCCTGCCAAGTGCTATCGTATGTATGCAAAACGGTAACCTCGATCGGATTAGTTGGGTTTGTTTTCGGCCAAAGCTATTCTGGCACCCTGCTGTTGCTTTACGGTGGATCTGAATTTGTGGAAGGAGGCCTACCGGAGCTGTTGTTGCAATGGCACTGTTTGGCAATTGTGCTACTGGCTGTGAACGGCGTTACCGAGGGATACATGTTTGCAACAAATACTTCCAAGCAGATTGACACCTACAACTACTACATGGCATTCTTCTCAGTAGCGTTTCTTCTACTTTCCTATCAGCTAACGAACTGGTTTGGTCCTGTCGGATTCGTGTTGGCTAACATTTGCAACATGAGCTTCCGGATAAGTTACAGCTTGTATTATATTCAAAACCATTATAGGGTCATAGGACGTGATCCATTGTTTAGCTTTCTACCGGGACCACTTTTCCTCACTGTATTAGCAATAGGCGGTTTTATTTGTAAGCTTTCTGAGTCTTATTTTTTCGGCCGATCGATCTTCTACCATATCCTGATCGGAATGTTGTGCACCAGTGTAACTTTGCTAACGTGGAGTTTTGAAAATCGAGAGCTTCTACGAACCGGCCTGGCTAAATACAAGGAAAGAAAACTGAGTTTGACGAACGATTCGAATTTAATTAACTGACGCAGTTAATTTGACCACCTTAGTTGAAATACCTAGAAAAGCGTTTGTGTGATATACCAAAGAAGACAACTGCACCATTCTTATTTTGGTTTGATCCAATTTGCGTGCAATGCAGCATTTTTTTAAGTTATTGTTTAAAAAGTCTCTCCAATCCAGTGCTGGAAATAAAGCAAGCTAGTTCGTGTACCTAACTGATTTTCTTTCCATCCTATTCCGAATGATCCCACTAGGTACCACGCTTTTATTACATCATTATTTAATGGTACTAATTGTAATAATAGCATAGTATATACGTTTTCAACATTTAATGAATTCAAATAGTTTTCGTTATTTGCATCACTACCAAAGATTTGTTTCTTTCTTTATTTTTTAATAATCGAAATGTATTTTACACTACTATTCTAATGTTCAAACTGAGTTTGCTGCATGATGTCTACTGTAAATTAGAATAAAATTCCATGTTTCTCTATGTATCCACTTAGATCTCTTCAATGTCTATGGCTTGACTTCTTACACGGCGGACAAATCCACCGCAAAAGTTCTAGTTCTAGTTTGAGTGCCACGAACAAAAGTCATTGACATAGAACGCTTTGCCATATTTCCCAGTAATGGGTAAGAGGCAAGAGTGCGTGTTGGAAATTTTTCTGAAACCACTCACATTTAAGATCTTAAGCGATAATAGTGATTGCAGCAAAACTTGTCCGGTGCATGAGAGCGATAAAAGGAAAACAAGTTATCCATTAAAATTAGCAGGAGATAGTTTTTTTTATCAAGCAGCGAAAATTAGGTAACGAGAACGAACCGATTCAGTAGTACATATTAGTCGTCGTACTACTGTATGGGTTACCTTTGCTAGCGCTGTACGGATTGGCGACCGTAGATGATGGCGAAGAAGCGGTGGATGAAGACGCGGACGGCAAATGAACTCCAACTGCTGCACTACTGGTGGAAGTGATTACCGAAGGATGGCTAACCTTGTTCTGTTGCTGGCACCATTCCACAAAGTCATCAATCAGCACCGGCCAAGCTCCTTCTGCATCGTAGTTGGACATACTGTCATCGATGTAGGTTGCAAAGTCTAGCAGCAGGTTCCATGTGTCTTTCGGAATCGATCGTTTGTGGTTTTCCTACACATGGATGAGAGGATAAGAGCAATGGGTTTCGTTTGTAAAAAGCTATTGAAGAATTAAGGGCAATATTAAGTAATGGTGTAAACAGAGTAATCTCTAGAATTCAAGGTACAGACCTACAGACATAAAGCACTGTCCAGACTGAGCAGTATTAACATGTTATAACGGTTTTTAAATAATATTGCAACACAGAAACCACCATAACTCTGTAGTCTGATCAAGGCATAAGACTGAATGTTTCACATTAATTGTAGAACAACATCCACAAAACACTATCGCCTTGATATGGGCATAAGACTGGAGTGCCTTTTGAATAGGTCGGCACCTAATTTCTACGGGGTGCTGATCGTCGTATGTAACAAATTCAACAGATACGTAAAACTGGACTAATAATAGTGAAAATTTCGATGCAAATCTGGTTTTAACATAAAAGCTATCAATACTCTTCTCAGTCAATAGCAGCACTCCTGAGATGTTAATTCACGGGAAATTTTAAAGAGTTATCTATCTCATTGAAAATATAAATTTATTTTTGATCACCAAAACAAAACATCTCGTTCTCAATTTTCCAAATATTCACATACGACTGTATCAAAAAGTACTCCATACAGTGTTCTTTTACTGAACGGTTCTGAGTCGTTCAGTTCCCTGAAAGGAACTACGTAGCTCAGTTCAACAGTTCTTCCGTCCTTTCAGAAAATAAATATGCACTTTAAGGTGGCTGCATTGTCTCGGAGAAATGGGCAGGTTGCAGATTTTGGTGGAAATTAAAGCTGGGACTTCAACTATCGGGATACTTTTTTTTTCAATAAAATTACTTTCGGGCTAAAGGAATATAGTTGAATTCATATTCAGTAATCAGTATACCGTGAACCCCCGTTAATCTGAACGAAACTTCGTGCATTATGGGGTTCATTTTTAATTTGAACTTCTAGTAACCCTACGACCATAAAAAAGCGAGTTTCTGGTGGGAGTATTACGAAAGGCCGAATCACAGAAGACCGAATCATAAAAGGCTGAATACACAAAATGCCGAATCACAAAAGGCCGAAAAAGCTCGGGAAAGCGACAAAGTGGACCGGTCTACTTTGTTGCTTTCCCGATTCGGGTTTTTGTTAATTTGTTTTTAATAAATTAAATTACATTATTAAAGCAAAGTTACAATAGTTATTATTCTGCATCTTTCAAATAAAATATAATGGAAGCTACTTAATAGCGATTCGATTTCCGCAATGAAAAAAAAAAAAAAAACATGGGTAGCTTTATTTTTATGTTTGTTTGAGTGTTAAACGACGATTTAATGACAAGATGGCTTCGTTTTTTTGTGAATGCGGACCATTCAACGAGGTGACTCAGTTGTAAGAGCAGAAAGGCTTCAGATGCTGAATGAGAGAGAAAGTGATAGTTAGCTTTATTGTTTCCAGATGTTTGAGTATTCAATAACGATGATGGCTTCGTTCAAGATGAGATTCAATATGGGAAGTATTCTCAAATCGTAAATCGTCATTAGCAGCGATATTGCTCTTGGTCCGTTTTGCTGAACGTTCTAGTTACACACATTCAACTGCTTGCGCAACTCGCTACCCAATCAGAATGTTGTGTATGCGTAAATAAACCGTTCACCTCTATCGCATCTCTCATTTCCTTACCCTTCTCTTACCCGCAGCTTCCCACTTACTATAATTTTTCCCAAAAAATCAGCAAGTGAGAACACCTCTATATCTAATTTCGTCTTGGCTTAATTTTTTGTGAATGCAAACACGGCGCATGATAACAACCCAAATTTGAGTTTAGTTCACTCATAATCGCCAAAAGTGCAGGAACTCAGCGATGAGTAAAATTTGTCTCATGGTTTCTTGTGGAAAACCTAAAAAATCTGCCGGAAAATGAGGAAATTGACGAAAATTTTATTCAGTCTCGGAGTAGTACAAATAGACTGAGTGAATCCAATCTTTACTTTTCTCAAATTCGGGATTTTTTCCCTGGAAAATCCTGGAAAAACCTGGGAAAACATGAGGCAAATTTACTCATCGCTGAGTTCCTGCACTTTTGGCGATAATGAGTGAACTAAACTCAAATTTGGGTTGTTCTCATTCGCCGTGAACCATTTAACGAGCCGAGTCAGTTGTGCGAGCAGAAAGGCTAAAGGCCGGCGCTCAATGGATAAGTTTTCAGGTTTTTTGACAGTTAGCCCATGCATTATCTGTCAAAAAACCCGGAAACTTATGTCGTTTTCGTTTTTGCGGTGTAGCACTGGTGTAGTGTAAGCAGGAATAAGCGCGAGTCTTTGACAGCTCAACATCATTTGTTTGTAAACAAAGGTGCATTCTATATCTACACCCTAAAATATTTCGGTGTACGGCAGTGTAGCACCGGTGTAGCTACACCGCAAAAACGAAAACGACATTACACATTGTGCGCCAGCCTTAACAGATTATTTGGATGCGGTTTTCAACAAATTCAGTTTTTTGGTTTTCGGCCTTTTGTGATACCTTAGAATATTTTCGGTCTTTTGTGTTTCATCCTTTTGTGATTCGGCCTTCTGTACGATTCCCTTTCTGGTAGCTTTATTTGCTGTTTTGTTTTGATTCTACGTTCCGTTTCGGATAATTCCATGGCTCCATTCCTTAAGATGCAGATTAGTGGGGTTCAAACTAAAAAGTATTCACATTAAGAACGGTCAGATTACCGGTGGTCCACGGTATAAAAAATCTTGCTTTTCAGTGCCCAATATAATATAAATTGAGAAAACGTTGAGATGGTGGTTTAGTAAAGCTCCGGATATTAAAATTTTTAATTTGTTCTCCCTTTTACAGTTTTCATTTCTATTGTTCCAAATATTTGTCTAATAGTTGATTTTTAGGACCTGATATGGAATGGCGATCTGATAATTGCCTAAATTTAATAATCAAAATATCCAAATATATCGAGGTCTAAATCTGTAAAATTTTACCGAAATCTCAACAGCGAAAGATCTGTAATTATCTAAAAATATATTGTCACAAAACTATCGAACCGTTCGGTAAGTTTTTACAAATCGATCTGTAAATTATTTGATGAATTTATTTCGTTTACCGAACATTCGGTGTTATTTCCGGATAATCGCAGCTACAAAGCAAGACCATGGTGGCTGGGTTCGATTCCCGGTCCAGTCTAGGATTTTTTAGGTTTGGAAAATTTCTCGACTTCCCTGGGCATAGAGTATGATTGGACTTGACACACAATTATACTAAGAAGAAGAAGAAGAACTGTGAATTTATTTATGGGCATTACCGAATTTGTTCGGTAATTTCGGATTTTTTTCGGATTAATTATAAAATTAGATTTTTCAATTTTGGTTTTATATTCTTTTTGTAGACTTGTATAAACTAAAAAAGTATTTTAATTATAGTTGCAAGCAATGCAAACCTACTTGGATCCCTCCATGCTTGTTCCAGTCCCTGTGCGATGAACCAGATAATTAATGGTTAACAGAATCATTTATGAGTAAATCCTGTAACAAGTGTTTTGTAATACTCACGGAAGAATATGACTATCATTTTTTATCGATCATGTAAATTATGCATGAAATTCCTAATTTTGTCCAGGCATTTCATCCTCACGCACGGAAACTGTTTGTTTGATTTTCAGTTTTGACAAGTTGCCTTCTAAAGCTGTTTACAGAAGTTCGGTGACCGACACCAGGGAGACAGCTCCCACACTTGGACCCTATCTACCCGTAAAAAAATCCAATAAAAATACAATGATTTTCATTGTCATTGTAACCATGATATTTACTGTCAAAACATTGGACATTTTTGTTGATTACCATAAAATTACAACGAAATTCATGATTCACAACAATGAAAATCATGGCATATGAGAAATTTACAGTAAAAAAAAATGGGGTTGTTAAGCATCTTAACAATAAAAAAAACTGATTTTTCTCGAACAAAATTGATCTCATCACACTAATTTTCATTGTTAGAACATTGTCGTTAAAAATCGATATTTATTTTTTAACCCGTACAATAATTTAACAATAAATTTTATTGTACTCGAAATTCGACAGTAAAAATCAT